GTTCCCCCCAGCCTGTACCGTGGGAGTTAAAATCTCCCATGATCAACCATGGAGCGGGAAGTACCGCACATATGTCGAAAAGTTGTTTGCGATTAACAGAGACTCTAGGAGCAATATATACAGAAGCAATACAAAGGCTCTTACCTTTAATGGTAGCCTGACATGCGACAACTTCAATACCGGGGAATTCGGGAAGATTCACTCTATAGAAGGAATGGCACTTTTTGATCCCCAAAAGTACCCCTCCTCCACGTGAATCCTCACGATCCAATCGAATAATGTTAAAATCATAAAAAGGGAGATCAATTTCTGAAGAGAGCCATGTTTCACAGAGGGCAAATGCATCGCAATTATTGTTATGGACTAAATACTTGAACGAATCTAATTTCGGAATAAGACTTCGACAATTCCACTGTAGAACAGTGATCAAATCCCCGACCTCGTTTGGAAAATTATCCATCGAAGGAGATGATAGCTGCAAGAAGGGGCCATTTTGAAGTCAATTGCTTCAAGAAGGATTTCACAGTGGGAAGCAATGTGAGGACAATGCTTTTCAGAGGATCAGAAATGTTGAGGTATTTGAGAATACCGTCCACAATGTCATCAAATGAGAACAACCCAGATGAAGAAGGGGTTTCTGTTCTTAAAATTGGGGCATCAGGGGTTTTGGATGTCCCCGGAAGTGGTGGAAAATCCTGGGTATAGTCAGTTCTGCGGAATCCAGGAGGAGTAGAAGTCTCCTTTTTTCCACCACTCCTTGATTTAGGCAAGCTGATTTGGGGTTCTTTATTTGCAACAATCCGCGAACGGATGCGCTTTCGTTTCCGTGCAGAACCTTCCGGAAAACTGAAAGAAGTTCCCTCCTCAGCCAAGTCAGAGTCAGTCTCGTCATCTGACAAAAGAGAAAAGGGATTTTTGTCATTGGTCGATGGCGTGGCTGTCTTAAGCATTTCTGCAAAAGACCGCCTGGAACGTTCCTTAAGGGAGCGTTTCATTTTGTCCCCGAGCTGTTTGTACGCCGGGCACGACGAGAGAGCATGAGGAGGAGTTCCGTTGCAGTACACGCATTTTGGTGCAGTAGCTGCGCAGGCGCCATCCTCATGCTTCTCCCCGCATTTGGAGCAGCGTGCCTTGTTGCCGCAGTGGGAGGCCGTATGTCCCAACCGCTTACAATTCTGGCAGTTCATGACCCGAGGTACAAACAACCGCACAGGAAGACGAAGTTTTCCCAGCTCGATGTATTGAGGAAGGGCAGATCCAGAAAAGGTCACCCGAAACGAGTCTGTGGGGGTAAAACTCTTTTTACCCTCGCTGAGCGATACTGACTTCATTCTATGAACGGCCAGTATCTTTACCGGAGGAAGCAAGGGGTTCTTGAATCGGCCAACCGCTTGCTTCTCCAGTATCTCGGGGTTCAGGCTCGCCTCAGTGACCACGCCTTCGATCTCCACATCAGAGGCTGGAATGTACACCCTATATTCCAGTGTGAAAAATTGGGAAACAGCAATTTCATTGGCCTGTTTCAGGTTAGCGACGGTCACACGAAGTTTGTTGTGCCTAACCTTCGTTATTTCGGTCACGGCAGAGAATCGCTTTGTCAGATCATCAGATATCTGAACAACATTCAAGGGTTTGTTTTTGGGCTGAAAATAGACAACCCATGGGCCAGTCGAGTCATTCGGGTAGGCCCGCAATCTGGTGCTTTTCTCAGCCTGCCCATCGACAGACTGAGATGACGAACCAGGGATGACATCATCATTCTTCTGAGATGAATGGTCATCCATGTCGTCTTCTGACAAAACATCCATTTTGTTCAACTAGTGGGAGCGCAAAACGCTCTCCCACTGAACGCACAGACACAATACACAGAAAACACTACAAACACAGAAATACAAAATGAAAATTTAACTAATAGGGGAGTAAAAGAAACAAGAAAAAAACAAAAACTTATCTGATAATCCTATACTACTACCACCGAGCGTTATATGTGTAGGCGTTTACACAGATGGCTGGGAAGCGACGCGCAGCGTGGATGACCTTCGCTGTGGTGCACTTGATCGAGGCGCGGCACTCAGCGCACACAGGCGCACGATGAATGATGAACGATATAGATGTAGAAACGGGTGCTCACACTCGATGATGATGATACGTGAGCGGGTATGCGTAAGCGCGTATGCGTGACCACGCAACGATGATGCCCAAATTTGTTTGCGAATTTCCAATAGCACGGATTAATCTTTCCGAAAATGACACTTTCTACTAAAAAAAAACTCACTTTTCGATCAATTTACCGGGAATTATGCCAGGAGTCACTTAGTGAGAAAAAACTGATAAATTATATCAAGCGAATACCGAAAAAACTTCCAAAACAACGGAGCGCGAAACAAGTCGACCGTACTTCTTGCTAGGACGCAGTGTGTGATGAAATTATGTATCTTGACGAAGTTATTTTTAACGGATTATTTTGTATGGATAGCTGTTATAACGACTTTTTAATAATTATTGTAGCACTGCAAAAACTATTTTGTTCGCCACGATGGTGATGATGGATTTTTGATATATGATTTGATAGTAGTAGTAAAAAAAAATAGTAGTCTTCAAAGGTTTGAGCCTCGCGCGCGTATTATGGATATAGAGGACTGAATTTAACATTTGATAAAAAAAAAATGCAATTTTGAAGCTTATTTGGAAGATACCTTGAGTTAGTAGTAAGTTTTCTGGCAAATGTTGGGGGTTCGTGAGCATTCCTGACATTGCTGAAAATTATGATAGCATCAGATTGCGGGGTTGCTAGTGTAATAGGATGCTTTGTTGATTGTTCATTAACTCTTGATTGCTTGTAATACTTATGAATATTTTAGGTGGACAAAAAGATGAACTAAGAGGTAGACGCCTGAGCTTTTCCACATTTATATCGCTGTGAAGCAACTGTAAACTCTAGAGGGAATTTATTCCTGTAACTGAAACCAGTTCGATTTTGTTTGCCAACCTGGTTAAAATGTCATATTTAATTATCTTAAAGATAAATCGTCCAGCTCAAACCTTTGTAGTGGTGGGACCATCATCATCATATCCAAGGAGTATTATTTTGATAAAATTTGTGATATGTTGGCTATTTATTCAACCACAATGATAACATGTTCAGTTATCAAATCTTGATAACAGGGTATCAGAACTTGTTATAAATTTGGTATAATCCTTTGCTCGGGTTTCCCGATAAATGAAAAAAAGAAAGCAAAAGTTGTTCAAATTTGGAAGCCGGATAGAAACTCAGCTGAAGCTTATATCTAGATACCGTCCAAATAAGTTTGCTCAATAACAAGCAAGTAAACTTTCTGAAAAAAATAATTTTGAATAGAATGATGCTTCACATCAATACGAACTCGATTTTTACAGTTGAGCAGTTTGGATTTCGCCATGGGCATTCAACTACACATCAACTGTTATGAATCACCAATTCAATTCGTTCTAACAAATCTGAAGGCTGCTCAACGGGAGTTGCTCTTCTAGACATAAAAAAGCATTCGACAGTGTTTGATATGAAGATTTGATTGCTAAATGGAAAAGTTTAATTTTCCACTAATTTTATCTCAGACGTCATTTGGATCAGAAGAGACGTTTCCGTGCTACAATTTGTTCAAAAATGTGAAAGACACAATTTGAAAAAAAAATACAAGATGCAAAATGGTCGATTTTTTTGCAAAACTTTGAATAATTGCCCATAACAAACAATGATGCAAAGTTTCATGCAAATCGGGTCAAAAATTTAGTTTTTTCTGTTGGGCCTGGAATCGCCCAATTTCAAGAATATCAAACAATTATTTTAAATACCGGACTTTGAAATTTGTTTAACAGATCATTCGAAATTTAGCCCCCCTCAACTTTGAAACCTCTGAAGCTAACCTATAATGACGGATTACGAATCATTCTATTATCTACTGCCTCGCACAAAAAGCCCAGGGATTTCCCAACCCAAAGATAAATCTGCCAGCAAACATTATTAGCCTTTATTAAACAATCCATCCACCATTATTGGGGCGATGGACTCCCCCGAAAGCTTTCCGTGCGTGCATGATGATGGCACCGATAGAGACGGGTACGAATAATGGGAAGCAAACTATGTATTAGCAAACTGTCAGCAGCGGACCGATCCGAAGGAAGATTCACTCAACACAGCCAGAGTCTAGTCTGCTCCGCCGACAGAGGTCCAGCCGCAGCCTGCTCTCCTCCTCAGCCACTGATTGATGGCCTTTACAGGAGAGGGATAAAGTTGATCCACGGCAATTTGAAAATTTTGTTTGTTCAATCGAAAAAGCTTCCAGTTTGCATATTCAATCCAGTTCGCCGTTTAGATCCGTCACCGTCGTCGTCGTCGTCTTTGCTCAATGACGATCATGGGGTGATTTGGGTAGGATGGAACCGATGGACCAGACTGTGCTGAGTTTTAGGCTCCGTCGTCGGTTCGGATGGAATTCAGTGGCAGTGGAATCTCTGTGTTATGGATTGATCTACAGCAGTGACCCAACACTCCCCTCGATTGCACATACCTTGGGGTTTCCTCTGTTTGTGAATGGCGTGTTGGGAATACAATTATGTTAAGTGCAGATTAGCCAGACCTACCCAATGCAGCAGCTTCTCTGGACTATGTGAGATCGTGTGGGTGTATGTGTGTTTGTGAAAGTGTTCTGGTTGCAATAATTGATTGAATTATCCTCTGCTTTACACACATGTTCTGTCAGATTGTATCAGAGCAGCAACAGCAGAGGAGAGCTGGCATATTTAAGCGTCTACGGAGGGATTAGTTTAATCGAATGGGTGGTTTTAAACGTTTTTGTAAGCTCTTCTCATTGGCTTGAAGAAATTGTATGGACTGAAGTGAAGTTGAAGCATCTTTGCAATTACTGGGCTCTGTTTAGACACTGACACTGAATACTCGTGAAATATAGATCAAATTTATCCCAACACAAATTGATTCACCTCAACTAGCGATGGTTACCTACCTAGCAACACCAGAAGCGGTATGGTGGTCAGTCCTCCCCGTTGCCATTCCTCCAGCGAAACGGATCCATCCCCGTCGTAATCAATTTCTGTCATCATGTCTTGCAGGATCTGAAATCAAAATCGAAATAATGGCATCGGATAAATATGTGAGCGCAAACAGAAATAACAATGAAACGTGAAAATTCCCTCCGGAATATGCCATCCTTTATTAGCCGAGGCTGAACAAACAACTTAATTAGGAGGAAAACGGAGAAGCTTTCTGTGCATAAAATATCCTGAAGCATCCTCGTCGTCGTCGAGGCTGCGTGCGTACGAAGTGAGCAGATTTTCGCCTTCATTAGCGAGAAATCTCGCCGAAATGGACAAGACATCCAGTTCCCCATATATATATCTGGAGAAATCCTATTTAACACAACAAAGCACGGCGCGCCAGGATCGGATGGTTGTTGGAATGAAGCAAAGGAACTTACCGGCCTCAGTTCGGACACATCCCAGCCGAGATACTCTGCCACTGACATCATTTGATTTACGATGGCGTCCGTTTCGGCGGTGTCCAGGACGCCGTTGCCGTCGGTGTCGTATAACCGGAACATGACTGCAAGGAGGGAAATAGAAACAAAGCAGGAATATAATGTGAGGAATATGAATGCTGAAAAGTTGAGAGAGAGATAGAGAAAGGCTTGCAACGGACGGGATGCTTAGCTTTCAGGACGGAAATGTGATAAATCAGCGGTTCTCAAGCTTTTGAGTACACCGACCGAGTGAAAAAGGTGTACTGTGAAACTTTTCCAAAAATAATAGAAAGTGAGCTAGAGTGACTTGTCCAGGGATAGGATTATTAATGATTAGGGTAGAGAACTACTTCGGCCTAATCGCCCATTTTGGGCTTATGGAGCAGCAAACTTTAAATAAATCCATAATTTCAGAGTTAACAAGTCAATTATGCGTTTGGTACGATACTTTAGTTAATAAGCTACCGAACGAAGTCAATGAGAACGCGTGATATGAAGGTTTGCACCCATAATTTCCAAAAACAAAAGAAGTGCTCCGACCGAACCAATTTTTATCTTCATCCGATAGGCCGAAATAAATTCATTGGCGTTTCAATGCGTTAGGCCGAGTTTAGAATCCGTAGGCCGAGTTTAGAATCCGTAGGCCGAGTTTGGCGTCAAGAAGCAGTGTTGGATTTTTGACAATATCTCAACGATTGGTTTCACTTTATCAAATCTTACGGTACGTACGGAAAGGCAAATAAATTTGAAAGCTATCAGTAATAATAACATTCCGTTTGGTGTTAAACTGTGCTAGATTAAGAAAGACTAAGTGCGGGTTGTGCTTAATATGCCGGAAATGGGGTAGTTAACCCTACCTCCATCAAGAGCAAAATGGAAAATGTATTCACCATTATGCGGATGGAAAGGCAGTGAAGATATATATGTCACCTGCGGGAGACAGCCTTCAATACGTGCGAGTGTATGATTTGATCCGAATAATGCACTAGCGTTGGTGTTGGGGAAACACAGAAAAATTAAGCGTGCCATCCGGGAGGAATTTCCTGTGGAGTTGGGCCTTAACACGCACACTGGCGTACGCAGTGTATACACTACCCGGCATAAGTGACGACTCGCGTGGAAATGTATTGCAATACTCATTTGAATATTGCATCACTTGAAAAAGTTTAGCATCACCCAAGAAAAGTTTATATTTGCACTAAAATTTGAACAAATTCACTGTATCACTGTTAAATTATTGTGGTAAACATTCAGAAAGCTCTTAATTAGACTAGGAAAGTTTTGCAGAAAGTGATGGCTCACGGTAGAGAAGTTAGATATCACTATGGATAGTACTGAATAATTTCGAGCTAGAAATCATTTCAAATTTATTGATCCTTAGTAGATAAGTTTGAAATCACTATGAAAAATAGTAAATCATTAAATATATTTTACCCGCCATAAGAATAATATCGCTCCACGGAGAATCAGACCTGAAAAGTTTAGAATCTCGTGAAGTCGTTGCGATTCTATACACAAAAGTTTGGTATGATTTGAATTTGAAGTGAATCAGACCTGAAAAGTTTGAAATCCCCTGAATTTGATGTGAATCAGAGCTGAAAAGTTTGAAATCACTTGAATTGGATGTGAATCAGAGCTTAAAAGTTTGAAATCACTTGAATTGGATGTGAATCAGACCTGAAAAGTTTAGAATCACCTGAATTTGATGTGAATCAAACCTGAAAAGTTTGAAATCACTTGAATTGGATGTGAATCAGACCTGAAAAGTTTGGAATCACTTAAATCGGTGTGTATAAGAGCCCAATTTCCCAATTTCCCAATTTCTTTTTTATGCACTGGATCACTTGAGGAAATTCTAAATTCAATTTGTGTACAGAATCACTTCAGAAATGTATGAAATTTGATGATGAAATATTTGAAAAACACTGAATGACTCGGGAGAAGTAAAGAATCACGGTGAAATATATTGATTTTAAAACCAATATGTAAAATGGAGATTTTTTTGGGAAGTACTGATTTGGAAGTGAATAAGCGAAATAAAAAAAAACTCTTCAGGATACTTTGAAATCACTTTTTGAAGTCTTGAAGCCACTTCACTTCAGAAAATTAGGAAATACCGAAATGCTAAATAATTCTAAAAAAGTAGAAGGCTCTGTGCCTAGGGGCACGAACGGAAGCTTGACGTAGGACCGCTAGTGCACGGAATAAATGTGAAGAGCATTTAGTTCTTTTAATTGATCATTTATCTATTACCTCAACTGTTTCCGTTTTTGAATTGTAGGCGTACCAAATTTGTACTTTTTTTACAAAGAGAAAGTTGATTAGGAGAATCAATCAAAATCACTTGCACCCCTGCTTCCTAGTTTGGTTACAAGATTACAACTCTGGAGATCATTTTGTGTGGTCGTTAAGGGTTGTGGTTCTGAATATGGACAAACAAGCACAGATAAATTATATTCCAACTCTTTACTGATGTAAGCTTGATGGCCCTGAAAAGGGCCGTCTTATTGAAGAGGACATCCATGGCTATCCTACTAAATAGACATAGAATTAAGTGAATTTTGTTACACACAGTGAACAATGAATTATTGGCTCCGTAAAGCTAACGCGATTGAGCCTTCCAAATAAACGAACTAGATAAAAAAAAAAGACATCCATGGCCACTTACGCTTGGCATGTTTAGTGCACGTGACAGCATCACGGACCTCATTTTCCAGGAACACCTTCAGCACACCTCGTAGATCAGACCACGCCGTCCGAAGCGAAAATGAGGTAATGCCATACAGCAGCGTTCCTTTATATCTTTTCAGGTTAAAGCAGAATGATGTGCAACCGAGTGGTATAAAAGCTACAAAGACTCCTCCCATTATGAGTAGTTTGCTATCAAGTAGCGACACTGCCTCTTTTCCTTTTGCATACACGGCGAATGAGAACGACCCAAATTTGAGTTTAGTTCACTCATAATCGCCAAAAGTGCAGGAACTCAGCGATAAGTAAATTTGTCTCATGGTTTCCTGTGGAAAACCTAAAAAATCTGCCAGAAAATGAGGAAATTGACGAAAATTTTATTCAGTCTCGGAATAGTATCAATATATTGAGTGAATCCAATCTTTACTTCTCAAATTCGGTAATTTTTCCCTGGAAAATCCTGGGAAAACATGAGGCAAATTTACATCGCTGAGTTCCTGTACTTTATTTCTTATTTCTGAGATAACTAAACTCAAATTTGGGTCGATCTCATTTCGCCGTGATATCACCTTGAAAGATATCGGCGCCGGTGGTTAGCGTGATTACCTCTCACCCCAGCAGGCCTGGGTCCAATCTCAGTCGGCGCCACCAGCATGTTCTAAGGCATAACATCTCTGATCACGCCTTCCTTCGAGAAGTAAAGCTGTTGGTCCCCGGTTGAGTTGATGGGTCGATTGGTAGGGTCCAGATGTGGGAGCTGCCTCCATGGCGTTGGTAGCATTGGAGCTCAGTATGGAAAACAAATCTCGCGTCACTTTTTCAATAGGTCCTATCTACATTGATCGATTCTCTTCATCGACACTCTTTTTCGTAAATAAGTCGGCTTCACAAAATGTTTCCTGCCGTCTTTGTCGAATTAGATGCTAGATTGTTGCTTCTTTCATCGAAAATATCCGGCCGTGGCGATTCAAAGTTGATCAAAGTTGACCCAAATAGTTTGTACCCCTGCATCCAGTTTGATTACATGAGCATTTTTGTGTTGTTTTAACCAAGCAAAGTTTGGTGATGATTTAACCTCCCAATTCAAACAGAGAGCGTCTCTGTCACTTCAAAACGTAGATGACATCCATGGCCGCTTACGCTTGGCGTGTTTAGTTTTAGGTGACAGCATCGACAGACGACGGATGGTGGTTATCTGAAGAATTTGCGTTTGATTCTGAATATGGCGATGAGTGTGCAAAATATAATGCAATTCCATCCTCCCTATTCGCACGCACCCGAGGATCGAAGGTGAATGCCACTTCGACTTTGTTTCGTCTACTTACTACTCTCTGACGACTGTGCTGGGGAAGCAGCATATGCATGTAGGTAATTGGAGGATTTGTTAGTTAATTCGACGCTTTTGGACAATGCTGGACATTTACCAGTTTTCAATAGTTTCTTGTTGAAAATCAACATTCGAAAACATTGTTATCGATGCGTAGCCATATTTCTGATCGATTGGTGATAACTTTATTGAAATTGGACCAGGGGCAGCTGAGTTATTACCGTTCAAAATCTTTCTTAATTTGTTACATGTTCCATTTTTGGTTTTCACAAAGTGTACCCCCATATAGAAATCAAAGACGTAGTCCTACGTCAAAAGTTAAAAATTCTTTCGGATTCAATCAGAATATAAGTTTTTTGTACAGCTTAAATTTACTCTAGGATCGTTTAAACCATTTTTATTTTAACAAATCAGATTTTAGATTCCTCGAAATATGCTCCATTCACATTTATCACCGCCTTGCACATCCTGGGCATCCGCTTGATCAATTTTCTTTTAGCATCATCATCTATTTGTTGCCAACACTGCTGTAGGCATTCCCAAAGATGTTCATGATTTTGTGGTATAATTTTTCGAGTGGCCCGATCCAGCTCATCTAAGAGCAACTCGATGGGATTTAGATCAGGCGATTGTGCTGGCCAAACCATGTTAACCAATTCTCCTTTTTGTTCCTCTTCGTTTATAAATCCCCGACAGAGCTTTGACGAGTGTTTGGGGTCATTATCTTGTTGAAGGATAAAGCCCCGTCCAACAAGCCGTTTTCCGCTTGGAATTGCATTTTGCTGCAGTATATTGAGATATCCTTCTATATTGAGAATTCTGCTGATTCGAATTAAATCCCCAACACCGCTTCTTGCAAATGAACCCCAAACTAACACCGATCCTCCTCCGTGTTTACGGTAGGTACTATGCAACTAGGGTTCATTCTTTCACCGACAAGACGGCGAAAAAACACTCACCGTTTATAGCCGAATAGGTCGAATTTGGACTCGTCTGTAAATAGTACTCTCGCCAACTGGTTTGTATCCCAGTTCTAGTGATCTTTGGCCCATTGCAGTCTTTTCATAA